GGCGCTGTGCCTGGCCTGGTACGGGCTGAGCGCCGGCGGGAACGTGGTGAACAAGCTGCTGCTCGGTGGCTTCCCGCGGCCCGTTACCGTTTCGCTTTTTCACATCCTGGGGCTGTGCGGGCTCTTACCGCCGTTGCTGCGCGCCTGGCGGGTACCGCCCGCCGGTCCGGCCCAGCTGCCGCCCCGCGCCTACCCCCGGTACATCCTACCGCTCGCTTTCGGCAAGTACTTCGCCTCCGTCTCCGCGCACGTCTCGCTCTGGAGGGTCCCGGTCTCCTACGCGCACACAGGTGAGGCCCGTTGTCCCGGGTCGGCGGGGGTGGGTAGTGCCCGGTGGGGTGGCCTTACCCCCGGCGTGTGCTCGGGAGGGTGCCCGGTGGGATGTCCCGGCGCCGGTTGCGCTCCTTCGGGCGCCCGGGGCCCGGCACTTGCTTATACCGGTGCCCAGGGTTTCCTTGTACCGGTGCTCAGTGGGGTGACCTGAAGCCCGGTGCGTGCTCGTACGGGTGCCCAGTGCGGCGTCCCGGTCCCCAGCGCACGCTCGTACTGGTGCGGCGACCTGAAGCCCAGCGTGTGCTCGTGTGGGTGCTCAGCACGGTCTGCCGTGCCCCAGCGTGTGCTCCCGTGGGTGCCCGGCACGGTCCCCCGGAGCGCCAAGAACAGGCCCGTGTTTGTACGAGCGGCCAGCACGGTGACAAGGAGGGATTGACCCAGCGTGGGCTGAGGTTACGGCTTTGGTGGGACCGGAGCTGAGCCCCCCCTCCGTCCCCAGCGGATGGCAGTTAATGGAGTTGGCCCAAGCTTCACCTCCCCACCGACATTTTCTTTCCGTTCTCAGTAAAAGCGACGATGCCAATATGGGTGGTTCTTCTTTCGCGGATCATAATGAAGGAAAAGCAGACGACGAAGGTGCGGACAGGTTTGCTGAGGTTTCTTCACTTGGTGGCGTTTGCGGTGTGCTCTGCTTGCTGGGATCGGAAAAGCTCAGGCTTCGGTTAGCTGGGTGAATTTTGTGATTGAAATTAGATTATGCAGTTTTTACAAGTTCCTTTCCTTTTGTTGTGAATGTAAAGAAAGCACGTCTAAACATTGAGCGAGGTGATGCTCTCTGACACACTGGAGTTGTTATAGTGTGTATTGTAGTCTCTTCATTTCTTCAAATTACAATAGTATAAAAGTTGATCCCGGGTTCTGTTGCTTTACTCTCCCTTCTCCTTTTCTACCCAAAACAGCAGTATGTATAAACTCAGATGAAACAAAAATTCTTAGAAGACGTAAGCTGCTCCTCTCGATTCCTCTTTCAGGTGTACTTGTCTCTGATCCCCATAATAACTGGTGTCTTGTTGGCCACCGTCACGGAACTTTCCTTTGACATGTGGGGACTCATCAGTGCGCTTGCTGCTACTCTGTGTTTTTCACTTCAGAACATCTTCTCAAAGAAGGTAGTAGTTTTGTTGTTCATAACTTCGGTCAGTAGTATCATCCTTTAGCAGGACAGTATGTATTTTCCAGTACGTATAGATGTTGGGGTTTTTTTAAGTTGACTTTATAGTCAAAGGAGCCCAAAGTAATGGTTGGCTATTCTGTATGCCTGTTCTCTACAGCTCCTCCTACCTGTCAAAGCGGTTATACTGAAAACTGGGCAGAACTCAGAGTTTATCCTGAGCCTTTTATTTACTCCTTGGCATGGAGGGTTTTTTTCGGCTGACCGTTCAATAGTGCTTAAATTTAACAGTTCATTTGAAAGCTTTTAATGTATCTTGCTGTATCAAATCCTTTCTCTGTAGCAAATAAGTCAGTGCTAACACTGGGCACTCCTTGAACTCCTAGAAACAAAATTAAAATGTATGCCTTGAATCTAGTTACAGAATGATTTCTGGTTTGTAAAGCATTTTAAATGTATTATTATCTTGTTAATACTAAGAGTCACCACTCAAGAAACCATTGTTTTTCAAATGGACATCTTTTTTTCTTTAGTCATCTTTATAGGAAATACATGCTATATAACAGTATTTACTTATTTTTGTAATTTATCTGTTGTCTAAAGCTGTTATTGTTACATGGCTTCTGAATCTCCGCTGATAACGTGGGCAGTAGTAGCTGAAGAAAGTTTGTTTAATAATGTTTTTTGTCAGGTGTTAAGAGATTCCCGAATACACCATCTTCGGTTGCTGAACATACTTGGGTGCCATGCTGTGTTCTTCATGATCCCAACGTGGGTTTTGGTAGATCTTTCTTCCTTCTTAGTAGAGAATGACTTGGTAAGTGTTGTATTTGGGAGGCTGTTTGCTATTAAGAAAAGAGGAAAAAAAACCCAACCAAACAAACACCAACACCCATGCCAAAAAAGTGCACTTAAGTGTTTCAGTGCAGTTCCTCATCAGCACAGGAGGAACTGTTGTGAAATACCTGCAAACTGTTTCACAAAACAATATGAAAAAATAAGCATAGTGTTTATTGTGAGAATTCATGTCAGGGTTAGGAGAGGTAGCTTATGTGACAGCATAAACCTCAGGAATTAGTAGCTGGAGACAGGAACAAATGCACCCGGAACGTGTGTTACAAGTATGTAGAGAGATGTTTTCTCAGAGCTGCTAGTTGCAAAATGTAACATACTTGGGTGCTTCTTTAGAGTTAAGTTGCAGATGTTCTTCCTATCAATGGCAGGTAAGAAGTGACTCAAGTTGTATTTGTGTTTCTTTGTCTCTTACGTGAAACCTGGGATAATTTTTGTTTCTTCTTGTAACGTCTGTCTTTGTAACAGAGCACGATGTCTCATTGGTCCTGGACCTTGATGTTGCTTATAATCAGTGGATTCTGTAATTTTGCCCAGAACGTCATTGCCTTCAGTATTCTTAACCTGATCAGCCCGCTAAGTTACTCTGTCGCAAACGCCACAAAAAGAATCATGGTCATCACGGTGTCCCTTATAATGCTTCGCAATCCGGTTACAAGCACCAATGTCCTTGGAATGATGACAGCTATCTTAGGGGTCTTCTTATATAACAAGGTAAGGGGTGGGTTGGTTGGTTTGTTTATTCAGGAAACTCACCAGAAACGGTCCAGTAGCTTTGAGCTATTTTTTGTACAACAAGTTGACAGCTAGCAGAACAAAAATGTAGAATGCATGGCATAAAACTTCATTGCAGAGGAAGTACGTGTATCACCTAAGTGAAGTACTCAGGTGCTTGGGTCGGGCCAGCTGTTACACCTCTAAAAAACTTAAATTTTGATCTTAACGTTTTTGTGAAAAATTAAGATTGGGAAGTAACTCACTCAAATCCCTTGAGCAAAAGAGCAGCTTACTGATTTGGCATATGAGATGAATGAGCTTTCTATTAGAAGCCACTACTATTTTAAGACTCTAACAGGCACAGAGAGTAGTATAATTGTAAAACTGTGTGCTTTTTTTCTAGGTATATGAATATGTTAGGTGACATCTAAGAAAAACATTCTTTCTTTCTTTCCTAGACAAAATATGATGCAAACCAAGAAGCAAAGAAGCAGCTACTTCCAGTTACAACTGGAGACCTTGTGAATTTGGACAGGCATCGAAACACTCCTGAAAAGTCTCAGAATGGACTTACGGCATTTGCACAACATGGAGACTATCAGTATGGTCGAACCAATATCTTAACAGACCACTTCCAGTATAATCGGCAAAACTATCCAACTACCTACAACTTAAATCGTTTTGATATATAGAATCCTGGCAAGCAGGTATAGACTGTGATATCGAAGTGTCCCCAACATTATCAGAAACTTTCAGTACATCCATGAATGTAAAGCCATTTTATTGTACAGTTTTTGCAGAAGGGAAGGTGCATGTGTAGTGAAAGCGGTACAGACCTTCAACAACTTCTAAGCAGACCTTTAAACGTGAAACAACTAGATCTGACACTGGAACTAAATGCACAGTGTAGCCCTTGTACAGAAATTCTGGTGAAATGCACGTACGTAACTTTGGAGTAAAATACCTGCTGTCACTGCTCCTTTTCAGAGCCTGTCAACTGATTATTCTTTTGGCAGCTAAATTCTGGCCAGTATTTTGTTCCTGCGCTGGTAACGTCACCTTTAATTTGTTCTCTAATACGTTTTAATGATCCTTTCTTTTAATGGAATTTTCAGAAAGAAGTGAAACTAAGGCGTACTTCTGGTTATCAGGATTTGTCTGTTTGAGGAGGATTGACTTATGTCTATCAGTTGCAGATAGGTAGAGTTGAATTCACCTCGAGCGACTACGAAACTTCACGTGGGTATTAATTAACTCCTTTTGTGCCTATGCCTCCGGTTGTTGATGACAAAACAGAAGTGTTTCTGAAAGAGTAGGCAGTGGAAGGATTAATCTCTTCAAGAAGCATATTTCAGGCATAGAGAAACAGAATTCTCTGAAATCACTGTTGTCCCAGTCACTGTAGATAACAAACAAACAGAGCTTAAGACTATGATTGTTTTCTGAATAATGTAGTCCTGTAACTTCAGACATTGCTCTTCCTTGGCAATACAGAAAACACCTTCATAAATAAAGTGTTTGGAATAATACGATTTTTTTTTTCACTTGCTTCACACCTGTTCTTAGAAAACTCTTCTGTTGCTTTAGAAATTGAAGGGTATCAGGTGTTTTCTTCTCAGTTCAAATTATGCTCTCTTACATGATTCTTATATTATGGATGCATTAATTTGAATAATCATCATTCTTAATTGTTTCTTAAGTCTACCTTTTTAGCCCCTAATTGTTTAAGTTTCTTAATTACTGCTGTTGGAGTTGCTGTGTGCATTTAGCCTGACTTTCACTTCCCGCTGAAAGAAGTTAAATTTTGTATCCTGCTCTGTTCCTGCAACTCCCCTAGCTCAAACAGTAAATTGTTAAGAAAAAATTATTTGAATCAGCAGTAAATAGATAATTTATGGTTAAGAAGAACTGATTCAGTTAGTATAAATGAACATACTTAATTCTAGACAAGTTGATTGTTGTGCGTCAGATACTGCATTTGTGCGTGAAAGGAATGAAACCAGTTGAACTTGGGTTTCACTGAACCAGATTTTGTTATTGTTATTACTTTAGCAAAACAAGATTTTAGGGGCCTTCTTTCCTTAACAGAAAAGCTGTTGTACAGTGAGATTTTTGATAGCATATTATGTTTTTACTAGAGAGGTATTAGACACCAGTGACAAAATTTAGGGTGTGGTACAGAACACCCCCTCTACTTATTTATTGCTTTTTAAATGACCATTTCCTTGATGTGATGTGATGATTTGGCTCCTTTCTGGATAATAAAGAATTTATTTTTAAGTGCAAAGGCAACCTGATCTTATTCTTTTGGCTGACTGTGGAGGTAGTTACATAGACTGCCTTCCTCCATACAGCCCAAAAGAGGAAATGGTCCTTCTGAAACTTCAGAGATGGTTAAATATGCTGCTAATGTTTGTGAACAGAACTTCCTTCACTTGACCAGAGTTGAATCTGTTCATGCTAGCTTAGAGCTTGGGCTTTTAGTTTAGAAAATCTAAATAAATTATTCCCTATCCCATGTTAACAAGAACAAGATAATGAGGAAAAGCATTACTTCAGATGAAATTTCTTTTGCCTGTTCAGTATTAATTTATGTATAATTCTTTCTTTTCAATATGGGAAAGTGCAAAATGTGTGTTTTTGAGGCTCACTTCCTGATATTCAAGTGCTTTTTACATACATGTAAAAAGGATTCTGCGGACTCTGGATTTGGATTAGGTTCTGGCTCTGCAAAAGACTGATTTGAGGATGAGATATTTAGGCTGAGATTTTTAAGAGAGGCTGAAGTTCTCCAGCTCCTTTCAAAGGGAGCTAGCTGTAAACTGTTAGACTCCTGCAAACGCTTAATTGTGTTCTTTGTGCCCCAGTTTCCCATTTGGAAAATGGAGATGATTCTTCCCTACTTCATAGAGGGGTGAAATACCAGAAAAAAGTAGCAGTGGGGGCCCCAGGGATGTACAGGCATACTCTTGAGTTTATCTGTACATCTTCTGGTATGTCTACCGCTGTACCATCTTGATACAACTTGAACTGTTACTTGGAATAAAGCTCCGCATACTTTATTCACAGATCGGAAGCTTTATTGAATACATGTAAATGGTTTCCTTTTAAAGAACATAACCAGATCTTTTTTGCAACTGTTTTCAGAGAAAGCTGGCATTGTGCACATACTGTAGGCAGGTCTTTAGCTCAGTTTTTTATTGTCAAGAGTACAGTAGCAGGTGAGGGCTTTCTGTTGAAAATACCTTGTCCCAAATTCCGGTCCGGGCTCGTGGCCTCACTGTGTCTCCGAAACAAAACTACTGTACTTGCAGAGCAAAAAGGGACTGACCCAAAACAAGGATATCATCCGTTCAGGGCCCAGAGAGTGAATCTCTTCCCTGGAGACTTCCTGAGAGTGTTAATGCTCTTCTAGTTTAGGTCTGTGGTCAACAGGGTTAATTTTGTATGGTAGAACATATAATTAAAACAGTTAAGTGAATCGGTTACAAGAGGTGGTTTTGCTGAGTACCTGAATCCAAGTCCTTAAGCAATATTGCCCACATTCAGGTAAAGGAAGTTTCTGATACTGTTGTAATATATATTTTAATCTTGGACCTCTGCGAGACTTTGTTTGGCAAGGTGAAACGTTTGTTTTAACATGGTTTGTAAATTAATGACATATTTAACTATGTACATAGGTCTGTAGAAAGTATGGAAACACTGGAATAAAAAGGGCATATCTAGACATTTCGTGTATAATGACCCTGTAATTAAATCAAAGTGAAGGGGTTGGTTTGCGTTTTTTCCTTGCAGGAAGCTTTGGGAGTGCCACACATGAGTAGTCACGGCCACTTGTGAGAAATCGGATGAGTGTGTTGCCGTGTGGGTGTGATACCTTACCGGATGGTTACGTAGGCTGAAACTACGATGATTTGGATGCCGTAACTAGTGTTAGCACACGAGTCGCTGGTATCCTTAGAAATGTTTTGATTTCCATTGTGCATTTCTAACATGTAAATGCATGACAAAATTGGGAAATTCTTTCCAAAACAGTCCTGGATAGTTCTAGAAAGACCAGTGTTAAAGAAACCCATCTCTCCCCACTACGTGTGGGTTTTCTGTTGATAGTTCCATGGAGTATTTGGTGCTCTTTGAAGAGATCTTCAAAATATTTCCCTTGCAGATTCAGTTTTAGTACCTAGTAGTGATTAGAGCATCTTCATCATCTGGTAAAATGCTTGTATTTTTTAAAAAACTGAATGCTAAATAAAATTGAGGCAATACTTAGGTTTTGTAGGTGTACAGTGATTTTTAAAAATAGTGTTGGTAATTTGGGGTCAATTCATGATGATTCCTGAAGCTCAAAACCTTTTCTTTCTGATCTGTGTTTAAACCCACATTTTTCTGATGTAGCATTTTGCAGCAGCAGCGACTTCTGCCATGTAGCTATTTGTGAAAAAGGTGCAATATAAATATTCTAAGGCTTCCATCTCCGAACCATGTTGTAAAAGCTGTTAAAGATAATTCTGAAATATCTTTGTGGTGATGGTACAGGCCAGTAAAACAAATTTGTCAATCCTTAGATGACAGGTGTATGATACAATCACATTACATAGATATGTAAGGGCAAATATGCAGGTGGCAGTCACCACCCTTTTTTGTCTGTTTGTTTGATGTTGGTATTCTATAAACTGATGTGACTATGGGTGATTTTACGAAAAAACCCAAACCCCGCGTTCCGTACTGTATGAAATCTGGCACTTAAGCTAAATGAACACTTTTGTATTGTTTTTCTGTTCTTACTTCAACTCTGTCGTTCTGCAAAGTTCTGGATGTTCCTCAGCCGGATTGCCTGCGACACACCCCTCCAGCCTGTCGATAACTGCTGCTGAAGCTGGGATCCCTCATGGGCTGACAGGAAGAAACCACACTGGTGACTTCCAGGTACTGGGACTCTTCCCTGTCTAAAATAAATCAGGGGTTCAGATGGTTTTTGGCAGACACCTCTGTCAGGTAACTATAGCTTTTGGGGCATTTTGCGGATAAACCATTGCTGCATGCTGAGGGATGTGGCAGCCTGGACGTTGACTGCATGGGCTCCAACGTGCAAAGCAGTAACGTTTGCATTGGGATGGAAAGCGACAGCAGGAATTTTGAAAAGTTTCTTATTTTTAAGTATGACTCAAGATTTGAACTTAATCTGGTCTTCTGGGATCTGTGTTGATTTCCAGGACTGCAGAGTGATGTAGAATCATGGTCAGAGTCTGTATTTTTTTTTTTTCATTTGTTATTTGGATACATGGAAACATGCCTCTTTCTGAGATTTTATATCCTGTAGATAATATAGAGGGGTCTTCATGGTATGTCTTGTTAAGAATAAAAAGTTCTACCTTTTTGTGAGGATGTCTGTGAGTGTTACCTGTGTGACTGGAAATCCTGCAATTTAATGCCTGAAACTAAAATCATGATTACAGCTCCAGGTGAGCATTAGGATGCTCAGGTTTGCTTTTGGCCTCATGTTATTCCCAGATGATCACTTTCCACTTGTAGATTCAGTTTTCCTAAAATATTAAAGGACACTAAAATTATTTGGGCCCCACTTCGAGTTTTGATGTCTAGTTCTCATGTCCACGATCTTCAAGTGTGGTGCGGTTTTGTGGGGTTTTTTGAATTGCATAAGTAGAGGAAGCTGAGCAATTTCTGCCATGCCTTGTACCTCTTGACTTCGGTGTGAAGCTGATCAGATCAGTACCTTGCTTTTGAAGGAATGTTTTCCTGAATCCAGCAGCCATGTAAATATTTTTAATCCCACTTTGAAAAATAACGGGGTATCAGGTGCAAAAGGGAAGTTAAGAACCAGAAATGATTTGAACATTCTGGTTTTAACTGCATGAAGAAATGAAGTCACTTGAAGAAAGCAACAGCGCTTAAGTAATGTCCCTGCGTAGCAACTGCACTTTCTTTCCTTAACAGTTGTATTTTAGGTTCAATTTGCTCCTGCTGAGCTTCCTACACATCCATGTTCCTTCTTCCGTCGTACCAATGGTCTACCTATGAAGTGCTGCTGCGATGGCTTGTCCCCCGAGATGAAACAGACGTTAAATGACATGCTTTCTTTTAATGCTCTCTCTCAATTTCTGGCAACTGAACTGCCGCTTGGACGTGATGTTTTAAAAGTAGAGGAACCGTGTGCTTCTCCAACGGGAGTGATCCGGCGGCCCTGCAGGTACTCGGGGAGCCGAGCGGGAAAGGATGAGGTCTCACACACCGCAGCCCAGCAGCAACTTCTCCTTCATTCGGGGGCCGGCGAAGGCGATGTGTGGTGCGAGCTGACGTGCCGAGATGGCTCCCGCAACCCTCACAGAGCTGCCTCAGGCCTTGACCCGCAGGCTCCTCACACGGCCGGGCCTTGCCCTAGGCCTGCCCCAGGCCTGGCTCCCGCTCCCGGAGCCTGCCCCCGACCTCGGGTCCCACTCCCGGGACCTACCCCGCCATCCCCGGGCACCTTCCCCCCCCCACACACACACCCCGACCCTCGCCCTGGGCCGATCCCCGGTTTCTCCTCAGGACGCTTCTTCCCGCCCGCCGCGCGCGCGCGCGGAGAGGGCGGCGGGCGGGG